CCCAGGCGGGTCTTGAACCCGCGGGCTCAGGCAATTCACTCACCTCGGCCTCCCAAAGGCATGGGATTACAGGCTGAGCCACCAAGCCTGGCTCTTACTAGGCTTTTTTAACAAAATTATTCTCAGCTGATGGTGACTAGTTACCATGTATCTCTTGGTACAGGCTTAATTTTTCTTTTCTGTAATCCCTTATCTATTAATCCAGAAATCGAAAGTGAATCTCTTTAGCTGTTGCTTTGGAAAACATTAACCTCGAATGTTAAAAGACTGTTTGCTGCATCTCTGTAAATGCAGAGCCCTTTCCCCCACTTGATGCTCTGCTGTAGAAACAAGCTAAGCTCTCCAGTGTGGCCTGGGGAAATACCTTACCTGTTCCATGGTTGCTTATCCTTTCTTTCTTTCTCTTCTTTTTTTAAACTTTACTTATTTATTATAGAATTGTGGAGTACAAGAATTTACTACATAAGTAGAGTGCATGCTGGTAAAGTTGGGGCTTTGTTCTTTCCTTCTTTCCTCTTTCTTTCTTTTCCTTTCCTTTCTCCCTCCCTTCCTTCTCCTGTCCTTCCTTCCCTCCTCTCTTCTGTCTTGTATATTTTCTTCCTCCCTTTCTCTCTTCTTCATCTCCTCCCTCCCCACCCTTCCTTCCCTCTCTCCCCTCACCTCCCCTCTCTTCCTCCCCCCCTTCCTTCTTCCTTATCCATTTGTTCTTTTCTTCTCCAGACTACTTCTTTGTGCCCTTTTATAGACTACTTCTTTGTGCCCTTTTCTTTGGATACTTTAAGTAGAGAGATGTTTGTTCTTCATGTCCGTCTGCATTTCCTACATTTGCTTAGAAATAAGTTGGTGAGGCTGGGCATGATGGCTCACACCTATAATCCCAGCACTTTGGGAGGCCAAGGCAAGAGGATTGCTTGAGCCCAGGAGTAGAAGACCAGCCTAAGCAACATAGTGAAATCTTGTCTCTACAAAAAAAAAGTTTTTTAATTAGCCGGGCATGGTGGCATGTACCTGTAGTCCCAGCTACTCTGGATGCTGAGGTGGATGGGTTGCGTGAGTCCAGAAGGTCAAGGCTACTATGAGCTGTGATAAATATTTCAGCCCAGCATGGCGGCTCATGCTTGTAAACCCAGCACTTTGGAAGACAAGAGACAGAAGGATTGCTTGAAGCCATTAGTTCAAGACCAACCTGGACAACATAGTGAGACCCTATCTCTTAAAAAAGTAAATAATAGGCTGGATGCGGTGACTAAAATTTGTAATTTCAGCACTTTGGGAGGCTGAGGTGAGAGGATTGCCTGAGTCCAGAGGTTCAAGACCAGCCTGGGCAACATGGTGAAACCTTGTCTCTACAATGAATCAAAAAATCAGCCGGGCATGGTGGTGCATGCCTGTAGTTCCAGCTATTTGGAAGACTGAGGCAGAAGGATCACCTGAGCCTAGTAGGTCGAGTCTGTGGTGGCCATGAGCATGCCACTGCACTCCAGCCTGGGCGACAGAGTGAGACTCCCACTCAAATGATAATAATAATAATAATGATAAATTAACTGGGCATGGTGGCATGCGCCTTAGTCCTAATTACTTGAGAGACTGAGCAGGAGGATCCCTTGAGCCTACTAGTTGAGGCTGAAGTTAAAGAGACAGAGTGAGTAGGCAGTTTACTCTTAGTAGCCTGCCCATCATTCTGCATGTAACAATGAATATATACATTCATCATCATTTTCTTTTCTCTTTTTTTGAGTTGGCATCTCACTCTGTCACCCGGGCTGGATGCAGTGGCGCAATCACGGCTCACCACAGCCTTGACGTCCTGGGCTCAGTCAGTCTTCAGCCTCAGCTGCCGTAGTAACTGGGACTACATACAGGCAGGTGCCACCACGCCCACCTAGTTTTTTAATTTTCTTTCTGTAGAGATGAGATCTGGCTATGTTGCCCATGCTGGTCTTGAACTGCCAGGCTTCAACATTCCTCCCACCTCCACCTCCCAAAGTGCTGGGATTACGAGCATGAGCCTCCGTGCCCAGCACCATGTTCTCTTTAGGTCTTAAGTATCGATTTTTTACTTTGTTACTTTTAGCTCCATAAAATTTCTCTTCAAACATTTCATGAGTATCATTTTAACCGGGTCAACTATATGAAACCATAATAGCTTTAATGAAAATATATACATAGAATTTTTTCTTCATCCCTGGCTAAGGATCCCAAAGTTTACTCTCTTTCATCTATCCAGTTCTCTCAGCCCCATTGAAAACTTGCTAAGCCAGGTTCGGTGGCTCACGCCTGTAATCACAGCACTTTGGGAAGAGGAGGCAAGAGGATTGCCTAAGTCCAGGGGTTTGAGACCAGCCTAGGCAACTTGGTGAGACCTTGTCCCTACAGTGAATCAAAAAAATTAGCTGGGCATGGTGGTGCATGCCTGTGGTTCCAGCTACTTGGAAAGTTGAGGAGGAAGGATCACCTGAGTCCAACAGGTTGAGGCTGTGGTGGCTGTGAGTATGCCACTGCACTCCAGCCTGTGCAACAGTGTGAGACTCCTAATCAAAAAAAGAAAAGAAAAGAAAACTTTCTAAATTGCTAAGCCAAGTAAAAGATGAACATCTCAGGAATGCTAGAACTCCCAAGCATTGAGGGCCCTTCAATGACAGCATGTTCAGCTATCAGTTCACCAAGCATACCTCGTGACATTGGCACAAGTAAGCACTATTCTTTAATGAGAGAGGAAAGGGGGAATTGATTTTATAGCTCAAAACATGATAGACTGTGAGTATCTTTTTATTTAAAACCTTTGTCCTGTGAATGGAAAACTGCGTGCTGAGATCCTATGGATTACAGTAGTATCAGGAATCAAATCAAATAATGACCACTACTCATACTTTATCTTATCCGCAGATTATATAGAAGCGGAAAGTTCTTATAGTCGAGCCCTCGAGATGTGCCCCGCCTGCTTCCAAAAAGACAGGTCTATACTGTTCTCAAATAGAGCTGCTGCGAGGATGAAACAGGTATGAGTTTTTGACCTTTTGTTTGAAAATCATCTGTACATGCGATCTTCTCAGAGGGTAGTTTCTCTCCAAAAACTAGCATATGGAGGCTTAAAGTTGCCGCCTGTCTTTTCATGCCCATGTGTTTCCTTGATGTGAAAGGGCACAAGAAGTTTAGAAAAATATGTTGAAGGCCAGGTGGGGTGGCTCACGCCTGTAATCCCAGCACTTTGGGAGGCCGAGGTGAGAGGGTTGCCTGAGCCCATGGGTTCGAGACTACCCTGAGCAATTTGGCAAGACCTCATCTCTACAGTAAATCAAAAAAATTAGCCAGGCATGGTGGCGCACGTATGTAGTTCCAGCTGCTTGGAAAGCTGAAGCGGAAGGATCACCTGAGCCCAGCAGGTCGAGGCTGTAGTGACAATAAGCATGCCACTGCACTCCAGCCTGGGTGGCAGAGTGAGACTCCAACTCAAACAAAATTAAAATGGACCCCTAAAGAAGGAAAGATAACATGACCAGTGTTAAACAGCAACTTGGTGTCAGAGCTGGGACCAGATCTAGTTCTTTGACATTCAGTGTTCTTTCCACTGTGCCATGCTTCTGGATTCAGCACTTTGGATTAGTTATTGTATTTGGTGAATTGTTTTATACTTTTGTTTCATCAATGGGTAGATTAAGGTTGATAACTTAGACTACATGACAAGTCGCCCTGTGTTTCTGTACAGGTTGACCATCTGTATACTTTGGGAGACAACACTTTGGGTGTGATAGTATAGCAACTAGCCCAAAGGAGAGTCATTAATTCATTTATTCTTATATCAGTCATTTGCCCTGTTTATTGATTACAAAGTGTTTTCAGTGTCTGCATTCTAATTTAAAGTGTCTTACAAATGCAATAGGTCCATTAGAACAATCTTTAAAGACACTTTAGGAAAGAAGCTACTTGAGTAATTTGTTACCAGGAGACTTTCAGATCAGAGCCATCCTTACATTAATTTTGAATTTTATCTTGGAAGTAGCATGCATGTTTTCATGTGATTTCTTTGAAAACTTTCAGTATCTCCACAAACAGTTATTAATGATCAGATCATGTCATTGAGCCATTGGGCCATTAAGATAAAACTAGAGTAGCAACATATATTAATGTTGTTTTTCCTTTTAGGACAAGAATGAGATGGCCATCAAGGACTGCAGCAAAGGTACGCCTTTTGTCATCTTACTACATGTTGGTGTACAAGAGCATTAATTCAGACAATCAGCAGGGCTTCTGGTCAGTTGAGTACTTGTACATGTGTACCCTTCCTCTGGGGTCTTTAAATAAGAAACTTTATAATTCAGTATTTCCAGAGATCCTGGCCAATGGTCATCCCAGAGTAAGCATGCTTTTGAATGGATGGTCCCATCACTTTCACCTATATTAGGAAATAAGAGAAAGTCAGAGCTACCTTGATAGTAGAACTTGGGAATCGAATTTGCTTCCTTTAGTATATAATTACTTTCCTTTGAGAGTCAAATTGAAGATCTCAGCTGCTGTAGGGCATGTAGATGTGTTGCATGGACAGCTGTGGTGAGGGACAGTTTCTGTTACTGGATTGATAGTCTTTCTTCAGATGTAGTAATTCTTCCAAACCTACTCCTTGTTGTTTTTAATACCCTTTCAGGTTCCGCAAAGGAATCATTTTGATGCCTGAGGTCTATTAAGGTCTTGTCACCCCACCAACTTTTATAGGAACATCTCAGACATAGACTATTATTTTTCTCAAAGGTTTCCTGATAGACCAGACAGTTGTCTTGCTTTTCTAACCAACTTGATGTGGAGAACACACATAATTACTTTTTCCTGCAACTTATTTAGTCTCATGAATTTTTCTAGCTAATTACCATTTTGAAATTTTATATTTTTTCAGTTTTCTGTTTTTGAATAATATTTTCTGAGCGAGTCATAAGAGTTGAGAAGAACCTTATATGTTATCTAGATCCCCTCTTACACTAAACATGAATTCCCTTTTTAACTTTTTTCTTTGCATTAATTAATTTGGCTTCCTCTCTACTGGCTTTCTTTATACTTGGTATTTCTTTATAGTAACTGAATGAAGTTTCCACTACATCATAATCTAGCAGACTACTTCTGGCCTATTACCATCTTGGATGGGAACTAATTCTGAATGTACTGTTTTGTTTGGAAGAAGATATTTAGCCTATTTCCTTTATATGAAATGAGTGGGTTTGAAGATTTTAAGTTAGGAACAAGCAGCTGGTTTTCAGAGCTTCTTTCTCTGTAACCAAATGTGAGAAAATGCCTTATAAGCTTGATTAGCATGGTGTACTTAGGAACTAGTTCATTCCATAGGAGGAGTTCATTACCAGCTGTAGCCCTAAGTGTAGGTGCTATGCCTAGAATACGAGGGGATGGGGAAGAAAGTGTTTTCCAACCAGTTTTTTCCAGATTTGCTTTTGGATTTGCTAATATTCATGTGCTTAGACATAGTCACTGTGGAAATATACATTATATCCATAGGTAAATTACATTGAAGTTAGTATGGTTTATTTATATTGAGAATGCTCCCCCACATAAACACACACACTCCCTCCACTCCCACTCCTCTCTGTCTCTCTCTCAACTCATAATCCTTGGCAGGAAACTTAAAAGCATATTTCTGGGCCGGGCTCAGTGGCTCAGCTTGTAATCCCAGCACTTTGAGAGGCCAAGGAGAGTGGATTGCCTGAGCCCACGGGTTCGAGTCCAGCCTGGGCAATTTGGTGAGACTTCTCCTCTACAATAAATGAAAAATTAGCCAGGCGCCTGTAGTTTCAGCTACTTGGAAGACTAAGGCGGGAGGTTCGCCAGAGTCCAGCAGGTCAACGCTGGGGTGGCCGAGCCCAGCAGGTCGATGCTGGGGTGGCCGTGAGCATGCCACTGCACTCCTGCCTGGATGACAGAATGAGACTCTGACTCAAAAGAAAAAAAAAAAAAAGAAGGGCAGGCAGTTGCTGGTTAAAGGGGAGGCTATTGTGCAGCCTAACGGTACCAGACAAGTAGTTTTGAAGGAGCAGTGAAGGTTTAGCTTGAAATGTAATCTTAGTAGTTGAGGCCTAGAAAAAAGAGAATGAAGTCTACCACCAGAGTGTTTTGCACCTCAGCTCTTTAATTTATATCTTCACATCCTCTCTCACTCTTTTCACTGTGCACTACTTGAGCTCTGTGTTCTGGCTCATTCTGGACTGGGTGAAAGACAAATAGCCAAAAACCAGAACTTGGAATATAGACCAGGATATAGCCCACTCCAGCCATAAGTCAAATCCATCCTACTCCCTGTTTTTGTTTAACCCACAACTAAAAATGGTTTTTACATATTTAAATGGTTGAAAATCAAATCAGCCAGGCACAATGGCTCATGCCCGTAATCTCAGCACTTTGAGAGCCAGAGGTGAGAGGATTGTGTGAGCCCAGGGGTTCAGGACCAGCCTGGGTAACTTGGTGAGACCTCGTCCCTACAATAAATCAAAAAATTAGCTGGCTATGGTGGTTTGCGCCTGTAGTTCCAGCTACTTGGAAAGCTGAGGCAGGAGGATTGCCTGAGCCTAGGTCAAGGATTGGTGATCGTGAGCTTGCCACTGTACTCTAGCCTGGGTGACAGAGTGAGACTCCAACTCAAAGAAAAAAAGAAAATCAAAACTAAAGGAAGATATTTCATGCTAATATAAAAATGATGTGAAACTCAGATTTCAGTGTCCACAAGTCAAGTTTTATTGGAACACAGCCACCCATATTTGTTTACATATTGTCTTTGCCTGCTTTTGTGCTACACTAGCATAGTTGAGTAGATTGGACAGAGGTGCCTGTCTGGCCCCCAGAGCCTAAAATCTTCACTGTCTTGCTCTTGACAGAAAGTTTGCCAACCTCAGGTATAGACTTTGACAAATGACACTTCCTTTCATATCCTTGGAGGATGGTTGATGAAGGAATTTGATGTAGCCCATGGCATAGGCCCTTTTTCTTTGTGATAACAATTATTCCTTCTCTTTTTACAGCGATTCAGTTAAACCCCAGCTATATCAGGGCAATATTGAGGAGAGCAGAGTTGTACGAGAAAACGGACAAGCTAGATGAAGCCCTGGAAGATTATAAATCTATCTTAGAAAAAGATCCATCCATACATCAAGCAAGAGAAGCCTGTATGGTAAAACCTAACATTTTTTTAATATGTTTTCTTCTATCTCCTGTGTTTCTATTTAGTGAATCCTAAATAACCCTTTCAGACACAACTGAATTCCATTCCTGTGCTTCTGAAGAGCTTATCAAAATATATGGGAGATGGATCTTTATTATAATGAAACAGTTTTTTTTTTATTTTGACTTTATAAATGAGCCACTCCTGGAATCCCAGAGTACTTAGGGCCAGTTACAGAGCTCAGATTGACCATCAAAAGACTCTTAAGTCAGTGATTCTCAACTGGGACAATTTGGGTTCCCAGGAAGATTTGGCAATATCTGGAAACATTTTGGTTTCCAGATATTGGGACGGGTGCTACTAGGGTATTTAGTAAGTTAAACAAAGGATGCTATTAAACATCCTACAATGCACAGGACAGCCACCAAAACAAAGAGTTATCCTATTAGGATATCATGAGAACAAATGTCATTAGTGCCACTGTGAAGAAATTCTGAGCTAGGTGATTATTTAAGAACATCCAAGGTTGATCTCAACAAATTAGATTGTATAAAGAAGGGAGTTCAATTTAGAAGTCCCTTAATATTCAGCTAAATATCTGGTATGCATCCTTTCAGACTTTTGTCTGTATATTGACCAAATTTTTATTGAGCCCCTCCTTTGGTCTAGGCATTCTAAGAACTGGGAATGTAGCAGTGAGCCAAACAAACTTCTGTCTTTATGTAGCTTGCCCACAAACATCAATACTTGTTTTGTTTTGTTTTGTTTTGTTTCTTTATTTAATAAGATTGTAGACATGTACTATACTTGATCTTATTTTCACATTAGGCTTTTAATGTTTCTCAAATTTGAAATAAAGATACAGAATTTTTCACCTACCCTTGTTTCTTTTTCTCCTCAGAGATTACCTAAGCAAATTGAAGAACGTAATGAAAGACTAAAAGAAGAGATGCTAGGTAAGCTTGCTTTCCTTACTTTCTCTTGACCACAGATAGCTTAGAAAACTTGGTTGGGGACATCAGTGAATACTAAAGGGGAATACAACAGTTAGAACTATCACTTCAGAACGCTTCCTTTACTTGGGCTACAATACCATGAGGCTACTGACTTTTTAGCTATTTTTGACCCCAGAAGGAGCAGTATGGTTTAGAGAGGTTATCACCTTTTTCAGAAACCAAATTTCCTTTTCGTTTTTCTTGGAAAATTTTCTTGCTTTCAAGAATTTAAGCTCAGTTTATCTCCCTACCTGGTTTACCACCAACCTCTATGTAAGATAATAATTTCTTTTTTTTTTTAAAGCAGGATTTATTGAAAGGACAGAAAAGCTCCCACAGTAGAAGGGGACCCCAGGGGGTTGCTCAGTAATTTCATAAAAACAGTTCAATAGCCAGGCTCGGTGGCTCAGCCTGTAATCCCGCGCCTTTGGGAGGCCGAGGTGAGTGGATTGCCTGGGCCCGCGGGTTCAAGACCCGCCTGGGCAACTTGGCGAGACCTCATCTCTACAATAAATCAAAAATGAGCCGGGAGTAGTAGCGCGCGCCTGTAGTTCCAGCTACTCGGAAGGCTGAGGTGGAAGGATCGCCGGAGCCCAGCCGCTCCCGGCCACTGCACTCCAGTTTGGGTGACAGAGTGAGACTCCAACTCAAAAAAAAGAAAAAACAGTTCATTGAGTAGTCATTCCTTAAGGTTGTTTTTAAAAAAATTTTATTGTAAAAATGTGGGGTACTGTTCAGGGTAAGGTATACAAATGGTCATTGTACAGGTAAAGTTTGGGCCTCACTTTGGTCCACGTTTCACCTAGTTTGAGATCAGATATCCTTACTGATGAAATGTGCTGCTCTCCCTTGTAGTTTCCCACTACTGCCAATCCCTTTCTTTTAGTATTATGATATTTGTTCAGGGTTCGCTTATGAGTGAGAACATGTGGTACTCAGTTTTTTGATAGATCACTGAGTATTACAGACTCTAAATCCATCCAAGTTGCTGTAAACTTCATAATTTTGTCCTTTTTTATGGCTGCATAATATTCCATCGTATATATTTTTTTGATCTGGTCTACTTTCAATGGGCACTCCTGAAAGTTTTAAGTGTGTTAAGATGCGGTTAGGATCAAGAGAGTTTTTTGTTTCAGAAAGGGCACTGAGGTGTTTGAGAATAAGTGAGAGGGCAGGAATTTGGAGTAAATAGTAAGGAGAGAAAGACTGAGGGGAGGGTGGGGCAAATAAATTCATTTGATCCATACTGTAGTTACTTCTCTTGTTTACCAAAGCATTTTCTAGTTGGAATCTGCTTGACTAAAAGAAGTGAGGGTTGCTGGACAAAGACCTGAATGTATTCTGCTTATAATCTGTCTGATATTTCCCAAGTCAGGATCTACTATGTGTTCTTTATGAGTATTTTCTAAATCTACTATGCAAATTACATTTAACATATTGCAATCACATTGCCCTAAAGGAAAAGTCATTTAACAAAAAATTGGACTTTCATTTATGGTCTTCAAACATCGGTATCCAAGGAATGAGAACAGATTTCCCAGTCACTCCACAGTTGAGTTACAGAGAGGAAGCCATTAACCTAGACTATCCAGAGTGTTCTGGACCCTGCTGGGTAGACTCAGACTCTAAGGAAAGCTGCTTCAGACTCAGTATATTCCTGGATTTTCAAAAAAAGACTAATGCCAGACTCAGTGGCTCATACCTGTAATCCCAGCACTTTGGGAGGCTGAGGCGAGAGAATTACCTGAGCTTAAGAGTTCAAGAACAGTCTGGACAACATAGAGAGGCCTCTCTACAAAATCAAAACTTAGCTGGGCATGGTGACATGTGCCTGTAGTCCCAGCTACTCAGGAGGCTGAGGTAGAAGAATCACCTGAGCCTAGGGGGTTGGGGCTGTGGTGAGCTGTGATGGTGCCACTGCCAGCATGGACAGCAGAGTGAGAACTCAACTCAAAAAAACAAACAAACAACAACAACAAAAAAGTGCTGTTTCCCTAATTTACATATCTAATTAAACCTGATACCATGTTTGAGCAGAAGAATTATTTTAGAGGTACTTTTTCTTCAAAGAAGAGGGAAAAGAGCATTGTCTCGCCTAATCTGCTAACAGTGATGCTTTATTTTAGAAAAGTATTTGTGTTTAGCCAAGCTGGATTTCTTGCTGAAAGGCATGACTTTGTGAATGGCCGTAACAGAGTTGGAAGACATTTCTTTTAAGCATTGGTCTCTAGGTCCCATTTTTTTTTAAAGCCAATCTGGTAAAGGGACTGGTACAAACTGAATCTTACTGCCCATTATCAGCTCCAGATGGAATAAAAATTTCCACCTGCTCTTATCACTCTAAATTCTAATAAGCCAAAGTTGTCTGTCTCCATGGCTTTGGGTTTTACTTATGACGTTCTCTTCATTTGAAATATTCAGATGGAATTCATTCCCTCCGTAGTTTCTATAATGAAGTCACCTCCCATAAGACTTAAGAAACCTGAGTTGCGAGGTAAATAATGTGTTGTTATACATCAGTAGTTTGAAAGACTCGATTTCTTTCTTTCCTTAATGAATGTAGGGATCGTGAAAAGAATCCTGCTTCCAGGCATTACCCCAGCCTGGATAACCTAGAAGGGAGAATTTCTGTCTGTGAGGTTGCAACTCCAAGAGAGCTCTTGGGTGCTCTTCCCCCTTGTTATTCATGTGCCGTGAGATCCCTGGAGACCAGACATTTTGAGTGCAAGTATCGCTTAAGAAGTTCTGAGCAAGCCTTTTGCAGTGGACTGCATGGACTGCAGTGGACTGCATGATTTAGTGCTGTTTCCTGTGGGAGGACGTGCAGTTAAAGATTTTTTTTTTAAAAATACGCCACCATTTATCATTGGCATTTCTGAGGTTACATAACTACTTAAACTCAATGGAGTTTTTACTTCCTTTTTTCTTTTTTTAAATTGATGGTTGATACATATTTTGATACCTGTATACGGTGTGTAATGATCAAATCAGGGTAATTGGGACATCATCACCTCAAACATTTATCTTTTCATTGCATTGGGAATTTTACAAATCTAGTAACTTTGAAATATACAACAAATTATTATTAACTATAATTCAGTACTGTTGAATATTAGAACTTATTCCTTACATCTAACTATTTTTGTTCCCCTTTTTCCCCCTTAACACCTTCTCTTTATTCCTCTTCTCCACTTCCCTTCCCAGCCTCTGGTAACCTCCATTCTACTCTCTACTTCCTTAAAATCCACTTTTTCATTCCCACATGAGTGAGAACATACAATATTTGTCTTTCTGTGTCTGGTTTATTTAACATAATCATCTCCAGTTCCATCCATGTTGCTACAGAGGACATGATTTCATTTTCTTTATCCATTCGTCTGTTGTTAAACACTTAGGCTGACTCCATATCTTGGCTATTGGGAATAATACTGTAATGCTGCAATAAACATGGTAATGGAGATATCTCTTTGCTATACTGATTTCCTTTTTTCTTTTTTTCTTTTTTTTGAGTCAGGGTCTCACTCTGTCACTGAGGCTGGAGTGCAGTAGCATGATCACAGCTTACCACAGCCACAACTTCCTGGGCTCAGGCAATCCTTTCCCCTCAGCCTCTCAAGTAACTGGAACTACAGGTGTAGAACACCATGCCAGCTAATTTTTTTTTTTTTGGTAAAGACAGGATCTTACTATGTTTCCTAGGCTGGTCTCAAACTCCAGGACTCAGGCAATCCTCCTGCTTCAGCCTCCCAGTGCTGCGATTGCAAGTGAGAGCCACCGTGCCCTGTCTTTTCTTTTGGATATATACCCAGCAATGGGAATTTTTAGTTTTTCTGAGGAACCACCATACTGCTTTCCATAGTAGCTGTACTAATTTCTATTCCTACCAACAGTGTATAAGCATTCCCCTTTCTCTGCATCCTTGCCAGTATTTGTTATTTTTTGTCTTTTTGGTAATAGCTATTCTAACTAGGCAGAGTGAGATGCTGTCTCTGTGGTTTAATTTGTATTTCCCTGGTGATTAGTGTTGAGCATTTTTCACATACTTTTTGGCCAGTTGTATGTCTTTGAGAAACATCTATTCTGGTCTTACGCCCATCTTTAAATTGGATTATTTGAGTTTTTTGCTAAATTGAGTTGTTCTAGTTCCTTACATGTTCTGATTATTAGTCCCTTGTTGGATGGACAGTTTGCAAATAGTTTCTCCCATTCTCTATGTAGGTTATCTATTTACCTGGTTGATCATTTCCTTTGCTGTGCAGAGGCTCTTTAGCTTGAGGTAATCCCATCTGTCTATTTTTACATTTCTGACCTATGCTTTTGAGATCTTATTTTTAAAAACTTTACCCAGACCAATGTCCTATAACATTTCCCTGATGTTTTCTTTTTTTTTATTTTTTATTTTTTTGAGTTGGAGTCTTACTGTGTCACCCAGGCTGGAGTTTAGTTGCATGCTCACGGCCACCACATCCTTGACCTGCTGGACACAGGTGATCCTTCCACCTCAGCCTACCAAGTAGCTGGAACTACAGGCACGCGCTACCACATCCAGCTGATTTTTTTATTTATGGTATATGAAAGGATTTCGGCGCCAGTAACAACTCCGCACCAGCCAGGCCAAGAGATTTATTAAAGGGGCTGTTACAGAGAGGGTCTGTAACCGAGAAAAAGCAAGAGAGAGAGAGAGAGCGTGCGTGAGAGTGAGAGAGGGCGAGAGAGAGGCGGGGGGAGAGAGAGAGAGCAAGAGAGAGTTATGCAGGGAGAGGGGTATATTTATGGGCTTGGCAGGGACCGGAAGGGGCTGTGCTGGGTTCTTATTGGAGGAGCGACATGGGAGCAGGGTGGATATAACAAAGCTAGCTACGTCATGGGAAATGATTGGAGGCTTGCAGGTTTGAACTTCGTGCACAAGGGGAATTGTGCATGAAGAAGCCAGAACCTAGGGCCTTTGTTGTCTAGTGTGG